TAGACCGATGTCTTCTGATTCTGTGCTCCTTCCTCCGTCTGCCACCCCACTTCTGTTAGGAAGAGCCAGTTTCTAGAAAGAGCAACGTGAGGAATTCCATCAGTAACGTCAGTTGATACCCCCCACCCCCCCAATCCAACCACTTCCAAATACCCCGTCCCTTTTTCTCAATATGTGACTGTATGACCAAATGGGTAGCTAGAGTGTTTGTTGGGCGTGCAGGGGAGTGGGGTGAGTGTGGGGGGGTGAGTGGGGGGGTATGGAGCTTATTTTAGCTCTTCGTCCCCTTTCTGTCCCCCCCTGAGAATTGCCCTTGCCTTCCATCTCTCCTTTATCCCTCCAACTACCTCCATTCGCCCCTCCATCTCCTCTTTCCGGCTGAGCCAGCGAGATAAACAGGTTTAAAAGTCAATTCACACAAGTGGGAGGTGACTCGGGTGACGGTGGGGGAGGAGAATGGATGGAGGAAACAGCCTCCCTTCCATCAGCCCTCCACCTCCCCCAGCTCCCACAGGGGGAGTTTCAGGTTTGATTTATGAATAGACATTTTTCCACACGTGTTCGGCCGCCGCGCCACTTAACACCACCCACCGAACCACGGCTGCTCTTGACAGATGCTGAACGCGAAGCGAGGGCAGAGTGTGTGTTCATTAGTGTTGGCAGTGTTTGTTTGGTGAGATCTCAGAAATTCAGTTTGTTCATACTCTGGGTTTTCACTGATTTCCTGGTCATGTGGCGGTGCAGCCTCTGAAGCATGGAAGAAGAAAACCTGTAGGCAAGAAAAACACGCCCGGTACGAGCGTTGACTGTATTTGCTGTTTATATTCAAATCCTTGAAACAAACAGATGTTTGCAGCGACAACTAGCCATCAGTGGCTGTCAATCATGGTCACGGGTTTGACGTCTGCTTTTACATGTATCAAGTTTGAGCCAAATTCAAATGATGCATGGTCTCCTACACTGAAAAAAACTTCTATCAACTTCTGTTGAATTTCTACAATAATTCTTGCCTGCTAACAGCCAAACGTCCTGTCACTGTCATCTTTTACCAAAGGTCCATGGGTCTTTAACATTCTCTTAATTTGCTAGATTGGATTTCATATCATGTTGTTCTTGGAAAGGAGTGAATGTCATCGGGGGGAGAGGGGGGGGGGTTGAAAGTCAAGCAGCAGCAGACCCCTGATCATTGTCCTTGTTCCTCCAGGGGGTGTGATAGACAAGGACCTGCGACACTACCTCAATCTGCGTTTCCAGAAAGCCTCCGTGGACCACGAGCTGCAGCAGATCATCCGGGACAACCTTTATCTACGGACCATCCCCTGTGAGTTGACTTTTTTTTCTACCTTGCTGTTGCAGTGTTCTGGTTCTTGGACCCAAACGTTTGTCATTGTGAATCTATTGGTTCCTCTGTGGAACCAATGTGATTCACTGATTTGGATTGAGAACTTCTTGCTGGTAAATCTTTTCAACACTTGCCAAATGCTATATCCCCAAAATGTAAAATGTAAAAAATAGCTCCAAATAGATGTTTTTGGGACAATTTAAGAATTTTAAAATGGTGCAGATTCCTTTAGTACTGGACTTACGTGACCTTTGTTTTTTAACTGCAGTACTTTTAATGACCTGCGTTGATCAGTTCAGTCCAATGGGCAACATTACGATGAGTTGACTATCATAAACTGCTGGTTTCATCCATCCATGTACAAATGTCATCGTACGGTGCTTTTTCTGCTCTGTGAATGGTTTCCTTCACACGTACTGACAGAAATAAACTGAGAATACTGGTATACACCTTCAAGGAAGAACAGATGGAGCTTTTTATTTGTTGCCTTGGTTTAGTTCATCTTTGTTTTGTGCTAACGTTGACGTCTCCCTCTTCGAGAGTTGTCTGATTGTTGACTCAGGAAGGTTTGACTTCCTCAGGTGTCTTCAATTCAGTGTAACTGAGACGCGGAAACACTGTATAAACAGTAGAGCTGGCTGTGGACAATTTGTAGACAATCAGAGCCACAAACGAGTCGAGGTCTCTGAGTATCGTCTTCAACTGCTTGTACCTGAGTGATGTGTTTGTGTGTCCGGTTTTGTTTTTTTCTTCATATACCCATACATTTCTGTTAAAAAATATACTATGTAATACTAATATCATGATTGTTGACAGTTTGTCCTTGTGTGGACGCATTGCCATTTTCTTCTGAGTTGGATGATATTTAGAGTTTGAATATTTTAATACTTAAAGTTAGCAAAGAGGCTAACACAAAAAGCTGTACATCTTTTTGGTTGGGTTTTTTTAGCCACCTTGATGGGATAGTTTTGTGGACACTTTGTACTCGTTTGGACATTTCGGAGGACCCTACTAACTTTAGATTAGGGCAGGCTTACACAAAAACAAGCATTTGTGTGTGTGTGTGTGTGAGAGAGAGAGAGAGAGAGAGATATCAGTCTTATCAAACCCTCAGCTCTTCAACGGCTCTGGTTGATGTTAAATCCATATCATTCCGACTCCTGTTTCCCAATTCTTCTGCGACTGCACGCTGTTCAATAGGCTACAGATAAGAGAAGGATTTTCTTTGTGCGTGTCTGTGTGAGCTCTTATCTGTGTGCAGTGTGTTTAAGGCTCGCCGTGCCATTAGGCCCAGGCAGAGCTGGTGGCTAACTCTCCCCTGAATCATTAATGAAGGTGCGTTCTTCAGGATGATTTCACTGGAGGCCACATTTTTATCTTTTTTTTCCTCTTTGTCCCGGGAACAGTTGAGATGGAAAAAGAACAGAATTTGTTTGTGACACAAACACATTTTATTTTTTCTTTCAAAGACTAAGACTGAGAAACAAAAAGGGACAAAAGCACTATGTAAAATGTAAAGGTCGAGGATGAGGTCTGGAGATAACAACGAGTGAAAAACAAGTGACTGATGCAGAGATGAAGGAAGATGTTACAGAAGACATACAGTGAATTTACCTCAGTGATACTGAGAGGAAGTTTCCGAACTCGCAGTTTGAATTAACGTTACTGCTCAGTGATGTCGTTAACTGGATTAAAGTAAACGAAGTAACTAGTGGACGTGGGACACTGTGGTGTGTGTGTCTTTCTAGGGACATGAATGCAAAGTGAATGCAATAGACAAACACATGTTATGCAAGTCGTAGCTCTCCAGGTACTGACTACTGAGAGTAAAGGTACAGTAGTAAACAACCATGATATTCTGACTACTCATTTACTAAGAATCGATCACCCAGAAACGATCAGGGCATTTTAATAACTCAGTTAATACTGTTTAAATAACACTGGGTCATTTTTAATCATTTTTCTAATCTCATCCATCCCAATTAGCAACAATTAACTGTAACTGAACCAGATAAAGACCTTGGTGTCGTTACCAGTAGTTCATTTAATATTAACACAGACGTTTAGATGCAGTGAAATGAACCCAGTCTCTTTTATTGATGAAGGCTAACCCGATCTCAGTTGAAGAAATATTTACGTCATACATCTTTGGAAACTATTTAAACTTAAGCCCAGAGACAAGACTGGGAGACAGGAGTCGGGTTAGTGCCGCTCATAGCGATCCTGGAGGTGGGACGTAGTCGCTCAGGGGAGCTGCGGGTCGGCCAGCTCTTAGACAGATTGCCTGGTTGACATCCAAGGTCAGAGCGTTAATAGCCTGAGCCTATGTGAAATCAGGTCTATCACTAAAGTAATCCACATAGATTTGGTGTGGGAGATGTGGAGAGTGGAAGGGGGCGAGTAAGCGCGGACTGGTTTCGGCGTGACCTCACTCGATCTGGAGCAGTAAAATTATCCAGCGCAGTATGAGAACTATGGTGGGTGGTTTTTTTTTTTCCTGCACTGTTTGAGCATTTGACTTTGTGTGCATTTGGAATTTAAATGCTTCTCTAAAGTGGTAAATAACCTGAAATTGGAGCTCATCCAGTCGGGGAAAACTCCTGGAGTTTTTCCTCTGTTCCTCACGGCAGATGTAAGTAAATCTGTGCGGAACCTGGACAGAGGTCAACAAGATGAAACAAGTGACTTGTCTTCAGCTGTTTTTATTATCTTCTAATAACAGCAACCACTACGCTTCAAGAGCCGTATGTAAGGAAACAAACAAGTCCAACAGATGAACACCTTCTGAACAACTGTTGAGAATATCATATCAATTTCAGAGATTATTTTTTGACCTACATTTCCTAGCAACTTCTTGGGGGTTTTTTGGTTTGTTTTTTTTTTTGTTTTTTTTTTTTGTCAGCCAGCCCAAAGCTTGTGTATTTCATTTCCGTTCATGAGAAAGTTTGACAATCCAAATCCATCTTTTTCCAATCAAAATTTTTCAAACCGGCCGGATTGAAACCCCTAGCGGGCCAGTTTTGGCCCACAAGTCGTATGTTTGACACCCCTGCCCTAAAGACTTCATGTGAAGTGTGTGTCTATCTCGCTAGCTATCTATTATTTATATAGCCTATATGTATATATGTGTATGAATCCATATATATATATATATTACAAATATTTATATATATATATGTATTTACTTATATATTTGTTTGTTACTACTAGACACTGAACTGTTGTCTTCAGTCTGGTCAGACCCACGTCTCAGATAATCTCTGTATATCTACAATATAAATGATCAGTTATTGACCGGGAGAACCTGATGATTGAAAATCCACATCGTGTTTCCCGAAGAACATGACCATCGTGAGCTCACGTTGCACTGGAACGAGTCCCACATTACATTGGTAATTGGGCCTCAGTCCCATGACAACACGACTACACTGTGACTCCTCACAACAGGTCCCACACTAATGACTGTGGCCGTTAACACCGACTATAAACCTGCTCCTGAACCCTGTAAATACAATGTGGACCAATAACTTAGTCCAAATGTCCTGTTAAATATTACACACAATGGTCTAATGTAGCGCAGTATTACTTCACCTGAATATATAAGGAGATATCACCCACTAATAGAGCGTTGAGTTTATAGAGGGTGTTACTGCATGTCCTCACGTCTGGTTTTTAATGAAGCAAACTTCATTCCACTTCACTGCTGCCTGAGTCGTCGACCGCTCACATTCACCGTACGACTGCAGACATCTCCGTGTCTACTCCTGTACGGACAACATACGCCTGACTGACACCACCCGGTTGTTGAGGCCCACGAATGAGCCTTTTAAGGTCTGAGGTAATGAAGAAGAAGCGACTGCGTGTGATGCAGTTGGTCGATGTTTACTAATGAGCGAAAAAGAGAGGCAGACATGACTGGTCCATCTGTCTATCCATTGGTCCAATCATGGCAGAGCAGATAATGGGAACTCTCTGCCCGTCTTCTCCTCTCTTCCCTCCTGGATCTGAACTTCCTTTCCTTTTCCTCTTCATTCGTTCATTTATCAGTGCTAACTCCCTGTAACCTACATTTTAAACTTTGAATTACAGTGTGTGATTTTACCCGCTAACAAGATCGCCGGCTGAGTTATCACAGAGCGCCTCCATTTTCATTTTCTTTAATTTGACAAAAAACACTTGAAAACCTACATGTATCCATGATTGGCCCCTCTCTCCTTCCTCACTTTGTCACGTGACCCGCTCTTTGTTTAACGGCCCGATGTCTGACGAGTGGCAGCCGTAATCCTGATCATCAGGAGATAACAGCCCTCCACGGACACTTTATTTCTTATTTAGCAACGCTGCGAGGCGCTTAGTGAGTGGTTAAAAAAATAAGGTAAAAAACTGGGAGACCTGAACAGAGGAGGGGACTCAGTGTGGAGCTCACAGCTAGAACTCACCCTGTCCATTACCCAGGACTCAAGTGGACTCAGGTACCCAGGTTGTACAAGCTGTTTATTCAGGAATTCAAAATTGAGGAGAAGCATAAGGACCAGTATTTAAAGTGGTAATCAGCAGCAGTAGAAGTATGATAGAAGTATTACTATACTATGCAGTAGTATAGTAGTAGTAGTAGTAGTAGTGGTCGAAATAACAGTAGTAGTACCTGTAACAGTTCAAGTCCTAGAAGCAAATCATGCTTGGAGCTGCAGATGTACCAGCAGTAGTAGTACTAGCAGTAGTAGTACCAGCAGTAGTAGTACTATCAGTAGTAGCAGTAGTAGTACTAGCAGTAGTAGTACTATCAGTAGTAGTAGCAGTATTAGTGGTTACATTAATAGCTGGCTGTACCTGTAACATTTCCATGCCTAATAATAGCGTAGTTGAAGTAGCAGGAGAGGTTGTAGTATTTAAAGCTGCAGATGTGGCAGGCGTAGTACTAGCAGGCGTAGTACTAGCAGTCGTAGTACTAGCAGTAGAAGTACCAGTATTATTAGCTA